TCCAGTTCATCCCAAAGGTGTTCAGTGGGGTTGAGGTCAGGGTTCTGTGCAGGACACTTGAGTTCTTGCACTCCAACCTTGAAAAACCATGTCTTCATGGACCTCGCTTTGTGCACAGGGGCATTGTCATGCTGGAACAGGTTTAGGCCCGTTAGTTCCAGTGAAGGGGAATCTTAATGCTACAGCATGCAAAGACATCTTTTATAATTCTGTGCTTTCGACTTTGTGACAACAGTTTGTGACAGAGGGGAAGGCCCACATATGGGTGTGATGGTCTGGTGTCCACAAACTTTTGGCCATATAGTGTTTTTGGAGACATGTCAGATAGATAGTTAATGGTTCTGTCAGTCATATTCTGTTTGTCACGGGAGGGATTTATTTCTGTCAGTTAAACAGCAGACATGCAGTGCAGTATCTTCCCTGACCATCATTTCTGTTCTTAATTGAAATAGAGGTAATATGGAAAGCTTGTAGATGCTTGACAATGACAAGTAACTAGCCATTCATTTTAGCATTAAAGACTGCTCCCAGGTCAGTATTTAATGTAGAGAAACATACTGTACAGCAAAGAAGTGCCTGGTGAGAGAAAAGCCGCTGTACTGGGACTTGTGAGAGGTCAAGCATGATGGCCGCCGGTCTCCAGATTTCATTCATTATTTATAGTGGAGCTGTCAACCATAACTGTAATCATCAGTCAACTGTGGGGAAATAAGGGAGGTAATAGTGGAACAGGAGTAGAAAGGGGCTGAGGTAAGAAAAACTGCATAAAAAAAAGAAACACAGAGGGAAGACAAAATACGAAACGATATAGCAACAAACACTATTTTAGTCATGCCTCAAACCACATGTACTCTTCTAATACTCTCCTGATTTTTGATTACACGTAAGTGTCTAGTGGTTTCACACTGAAAAATACCAAAAATAAATAAATAAATTGCCAAGCTAATGATATGTTGAGCAATCAACACTAATCTGTCCCATAATGCACCAGGGAAGCAAACGGGAGGGCTTGCAGCAGAAAGTGGACAGAAACAACATGACAAACAAGGGCAAAGAGCTTGTCTGTGGTGCCACTTTTGCCTCTGCCTAAAAGCTGTTAAATGTTGTTAATGCAATGTATATGTATAGCAAAGAAAAATACACCCAGTACTGTTGATTAAGTTAGCCAGCTAGTCACGGAGTACTATCATCTACAATTTCCCTAAACATAGTCCTTAATGTTAAATTTTAAACCACTGAAAATTATATTTGTGGAATAATAAATTATTGAATATGTCCTTTCTAAATGTCCAAGAATCATGTCTGTATTTTTACCTTCTTTAAAATTGCCAGGATCTTTCAAAATCCATATGTATGTGAATAATTAGGAAAGTTCATGTGTCCTCCTGCTCTCTTAAATAGCCTAATATCACTATGAGCTAAGCTAAATGCTAATAAAACAGTCTGGAATTACCACAGGTATATATGAATGGGATTTCAGTATCCGAGTCTACCTAACTACCTAAATATCTAACTAGGTATATTTAGCTTAGCATGCAGCTTGTACATCTTAGATGTGATTGGTTTAAAGCCATAAAGCTTATGCAGTGGCATCACTAACGGAGCTAAAAAGATCCCAGTCCAAATACATTCTTTGTAGAAGTACTGAAAAAGTCTCTGTTTAAAATGGAAAAATTAGGCATTTACTACAAGCGTAGCAGTGCATATGCAGAACTTATTAACCATCCAATACACCCTGGAGAGGTTGATTCAAGTATTGCACATTCACTAGTTCTTCCAAGCCAATATCAGCACTTAACAGGAAGCCTGGGGCACTGGGCTAGCAGAATGCACCAGCACTAAATCTGAATCACTGCAGTGATCAAGACTTTCACTGCTATCTTCTGATGATTCAGTGTCCTAAACAAATACAGAGCACCACATTAGGATAAGCCAGATTTTCATTTGCTTATGTCACTGTAACAACAGGAAAGCAGAGGCATTATTAATAGACACTTCAACATGGCAAAAGCTTTTCTTTTAATATGCATCCTACTGTGTTGTGTTCTGGGACACCTGGCTCTACAGAAAAAACTTAATTTATAAATAATAACAATAAAAGTACTTTATTAAGATTTTCACAGCTCCTTTTTTTTATTTAAATATCCTTATTTCATATTCGTCAACCTTATATCTCACTAAAAAAAATGTGAACGAGGAGTATGACATTCAACTTTACTGATGAAAGATCATACGCTAATGTTTTATTGATACAGTTTTCTATGTATTTCTTTTATGCACAACTCAATCATCTGCAATTAGCAGTTTTGTAATTCTTTCCCTGTATCATACAGCAGTAGGCGTCCACCTATATGTGATGTCCGCTATATCTTTCCTATCTGCAAATCCAGCAGCATTGCTAAGTGTCCAGGTGTGCCTGGCAGATAGTGCTACCTCAACTCACTACATAGTGAGGTAGCCTCCCAGTTTAACAAATGCACAGTTTTGTGATGGACAACCAGCAATCCGAGGCTATCACCTATGTCCCAGCTACACCAGTCCTACACCAAGGATGTCAAATTTTACTAGCCAGATTTTAACTGAGGCATAGGGCACACATTGATAAGTAGTGTGTTTCTGCATATAAGCAATTAGGGCATTAATTAGGGCACTCTTTGATTAGTTCTATTAAAAACATACCACTGCACCTCAGACAAATCTCTTCCCCAAAAATTAGCCTCTCTTTATATTGATGTTGTCAGAATGGCTACAAGAAGCTGCAGCCATGCAGTTGATCATTCTGCTTTGCGTAGCATTGATCAGTCAGTAATTACACGATGTGATTGTGAGTCATCATATTACTACCTCCTTTCTAACAAAGCAAACAGTCCTGATAAATATCATCTGGATGAATGAGTGGAGCCAAGAGACACAGACATGAACAATGACCTAGTCATTTCAGGCATTTGTCAGATCATTATGCGCCAAATAAAATCATTTAATCAGAGTTATGGTTGTCCAAGGGTAGAGTGGCTCTATCTGCTAATGAAGAGTGGGACTGAGGCAAAGGCTGGAAGTCAAACTGCAATGGAAAGCACTGATCCTTTTAGTATTTGGTCAACCAACCATTGTAAATATCTTGTTTTAACGAAGAAACAGATTTGGGGTTGCAATCTGTCTGACTGTCAGTAAGTAAGGTATTTGGAAATTAATTTTTAAAACTTCTTGGCAAATTAGTAAAATGGAGATCAATGTGAGTCTACCAAGGGCAGGGAAGAAATCTAGGGCTCTGCTATCATGAGATTCTTGCTTAGAAAAGCAAGAGGCACTGTCATCAGCAATAGCGGCATCACAGCACACTGTGTACCCAATTACACAACCAGTGCATGGCGTTAGCTTCAGCTCAAACACAGATGAGCCGGTGATAAAAAGCCCCTGTTGCTATGCAGATGGGGAAAGCCTCTTTGGCTTCAGCTTTGGGCAAACAAACAAAGAGAGAACCCTCAGCAAACATTTGCTCTCTGTTAATATCCCAACCTTATTCACACAGTGAACACCAGGCATCTAAGATTACAGTGGTAACAATGGTCACAATCACATATCTGATATGATATAGCATAGACAAACAAAAAGAAAATTTTGCATGGTCAGCTCACAGAAACAATACAATATAGTATAACAGTGCAACCTACATTGACTGTTTGGGACCTGGGACCTACAGAGTCTGGGACCTTCAGAGACAGATGTGAGAAAAGTCTGCAGATGAACTGTGCAAAGTTTTACAACAAACTAGCAGGTGATTTCCTTATAAAACTTCACAACAGTTACTGACCTATTTCTAACTTGCCTTTTCTGGGCAAGATACTTGAGTGTGCACTGGCAGCTCAGCTCAAAGTACACAGAGCCTGCAACAGCTAGGAGGAGTTTCAGTTTTAGGACAAACTATAGTACTCAAACTGCACTTTGGGTTGTAGGTTGTGGCTGATTGTGGGTTATCGGTACTGTTCTCTCCTGGCTCCAACCTGATCTTTTTGACAGATAGCAATTTGTTTTAATTGATAAGTTTAGGTCAGACATTTCAGACCTGCCTCTTTCATGGTGTTGTCTTAGGCCCGCTGTAATTCTTTTTATACACAGTCCCCCGTGGCAATATCATCAGGTGGCATGGTTTGCAGTTCTATTGCTATGCTGACTATTTAGATTTACATACACACTGACCCCTCACACAGACATCCTCCCCTTGAACAGCCTGACTGCCTGACCTAAAGACCTGGATTAGTATGAACTTTCTGAAGCTTAACAAAAACAAATCCGAGGCTATATTGATTGCATCCCCAGACACTCTGAAGAAAATACCATTAACTGACTATCCATGACTTCATTACATCCACCTCAGCTCAGGTTATAAGCCTACCTCAGACTCCTTTAGACTTTAGACTCCTTTAGACTTTACACTGTCATTTGATTCTCATATTAAAACATTATTAAGGCAAATTTATTTCACCTCAAGAACACTGTCAGACTTCAGACTCCCTTTCCCTCTCTGCAGCAGAAACCTTTATCCATGTGTTTATCCTTTCCAGGCTCAATTATTGCAGATTTGCTCTTTATTAACTCTGAAACCAGGGTGAATAAACTGTAGTGTGTACAGAACTCAGCTGCTGGGGTTCTTACCCACACCAGACCATGGGAATACACAACCCTAAACCTTAGTTAAAAAGTTACACTGTCTTTCTGTTTGTTTTAGAATACAGTACAAAATATTTGACTTATCTTGAAAGTGGGAAGTCAGAATTGTCATTTTCAACAATTTCAAGGATGCCTCCATGTTCAAGCTAGCCAGATGACAGTGATGTGATGTATATGTTGTTGTTCTTTTGGCTGCTCCCATTCGGAGTCGCCACAGCAGATCATTGGTCCACACAGTTTGGCACAGTTGTTATGCCAGATGCCTTTCCTAACACAATTTTATCCGGGCTTGGGACCGGCACTGGGAGTGCACTGGTTTGTTCTGGGGTTGTTTCCCTGGCCCGAAAATTGAACCCAGGCTGCGGCGGTAAGAATGCTGAGGCCTAACCACTAGTCCTCCAGGGACGCTGATGCGATTTATATGTAGCTCCTAAAAAAAAACAGCAAACTGTATAGTCAGTGTTATAGATTTAACAAGCTGTGTCTGTGTTAATTGATCAAAAGTAAATACAGCATAATTATATACAGTATAAGTAGGACACAGATTCCCAAACCTTTTGGGTAAATGACCCCAAATGGACATTTTGATTTTTGCAACCCCAAGCCTTAACCATCCTGCTTTTTTTAAATACCAGATTTGTAATATAGGATTACTAAATATTTGAGCACTTACATAAGTGATTAAAAACCAAAGAAATTCCTTGCACTGACTTACCAGTCTAATGGTTGTGTTGCTACAGGAAAAATAATCCACGTCTGGGTGGTGTGATACTTGGCGCATGATTTGATTGCTCATGCAGACCTTTGTTCTCACACTCGTTCACATCATATGTACCTCCAGAAGGTTTATAGGCAGCATTCACTAGATGGCATGTCAGAGCCAAAACATCCCTGTCCTTCAGGTTTTCAAACTGAACTGTAAAAAGTTTATAAATTTCATGTGAACACAATGATTAGCTCTTGTTCTCTTGAAAACTTTGTGCTGTTGTAATTTTTGTCATGGTCATGACTCAAATCGACAGCTCTGACTTAACATCCAATGTATTTGCTAATCTAGAAAATCCAGAAGACTGGTGCACAAAACAAACCTTGTGGTGGGGTTGAAGGCTACATGAGAGGTTTTTAAAATTCAAACACTAGCTGTACTAGGAAACCTGGCTATTATTAGTACTCAGTTATTACTCAGATATTCTTCGTGGCATGGATTCCACAAGATGTTGGATAACATTCCACTGGCATTCTAGTCCATGTTGACATGATGACATCATGCAATTCCTACAGATTTTTCATGCTGAAAATCTCCCGTTATACCACATCCCAAAGATATTTTATTGGATTCAGATAGGTCCAGTCACTGGGAATGCTACTGAAGACCACTGAACTCCTTGTTATGTTCATGAAAACAGTTTGAGATGACTTTTGCTTTTCGACATGGTTCATTGTAGCCATTAGGAGATGGGTAAACTGTGGCCATATAGGGATTCGCATGATCAGCAACGCTAATTAAATTGGCAGTGGCTTTCAAGCGATGATTCATTGGTATTAAAGGGTACAAAGTATGCCAAGAAAACATTCTCCACACTATAACACCACCGCCACCAAAATCCATATTCAATATTTCTAAAATTAATTTGTAAAATAAATGAATGAAACAAAAGAGTTTCTCTTGTAACCCCTTTTGTAAATCAGGCGACCTCACATGGGACACACCTGTCTGGCTAATTAGGAGTAAGGAATAATTGTTAGCTTTTTAAATCTTTTTTATGTATCTTGCAGTGAAAATTCATTGTGAGAACATAGACAATATTCACTTGAAGTGAGTGACCTTGTTTACATGGGAAATATCAAAAGCTGGTGTTCTCTTCAGCATCTGAGAAGCTACCACAGTATAGAGTCAGGTTCCGAGAGTATCAGTGCAGTGGCGGAATAAATATTGTTTGTGGTGATGCTCAGTTAGAAAAAGAGAATGTAGAAAAATGAAGAGGGAGAAACTCTGAAGATGACAATACAGCTTGGAAGATGTGGTACCTGTGTGGGTGTCTGGCTCCACAGTGACACATTTTCCCCACAGACTTCTGAAAATGCCTCATAAAGTAACACATTTGTGTCTCACACTCACACAGCAAATCTGGGGTTGTGATGTAAGTGATTTGTACTGACAGGAGCTGAATCATTTTGTCACACTGCATCAGGGCACCTCACAATCGACTGATTTCCCAGAGGTAGTTGCTCAGATTAATGGGTATGGCATATGAAAGACACTAGTAGCACTTTGATGTTATACCTCTGAGACCAAGAGAGCCCAGGTTCTCAGGAGAGATGGGAGAGAGAGAGGAAGACAGTCTGAGAGTCTGGCCTTTGTTGATAACTGTCACAGCTATGTCCATGTGTCCATGAGAAATAATACAGGCATGGCTTTTGGTCTGATCAATGTAATAACAGAAACAATTTTTAAATGGTAATATAGCCATTACCTCTTTTCCTTTTGCTGCAGACCATTGCAAATAATTGGATAGATCTTTGGGTGCATTTTTGGGTTTCTAGTAGAGAAAGCGAGGAGCTAAGCTAAGACAGTTCATGAGTGCGTTCTTTGAGTATCATAACCAACAGATGGTGAGTCCATTTTCAAGGGTAAAATCTGATACACATTGAAGAAACATATTACCAAATTAAAATCTAGAATTAATACAGAAACTATGGCAAAATCAAGTTTACCTTTTGGAGTCAATACATTATTATCGTTTTGGTTGAAGGTCTCAGTCTAATGTCCTGGGTGCCATTCATGAATGCACACATACACATAGACATACAATTAATTATATTAATAGCAGAAATGTGTACCTGTGTAAGTGATTCTGAGTGTAAATGCTATGTAGGCACAGGAGTATTTAAGAACACGTTCTGTATATAAGCAGGACGGGTGACATGACAGAGAATGAGGAGATGGGGGAGATTTTTCTAGGTCAGTACAGGAATGCATTCTATCTAGACCGGTTTCTATTTAAAACCAGGCTTTAGGATACAAAACACCAGACTGATATTCAAATTTATAAAAGGATTGAACAGTTTGGAAAAAGATCATATATTTAGAAGGTCAGATGAATTGAAGAGGATCATCAGATGCATGAGCAGGGGCTACTGGGGTTTCTATTTTATAGTAACACAGAACCAGAATGCACATCAGTATGGTCTCTTAGACATTAGTCAGTTCACTGTATACAAATCCAAGAGCATCCCATACCTTTGAACCCTTTCTCTAATGGTTAGTTCCAGTATCTGAACGTGCTTAGCTCCAGACAATGTACTGTGTAATACAGAACACATTACCATGCAGGAAATTGCATTGTAGTACACAAAGTTTCAAGGACATCAAGGACATTCCTGACAAAAGGGCATCCAGGACATTTCTGACATATATATATATATATATTTTTTTTTTTTTTTTACATACATATATAAGAAACATCTCTTCTGTTACTCTTCCTTTCTTCTTCCTCTATGCTGACTATACATGTCTTAGCATTAGCGGGTCCCAGTGGACTCCTGTCCCCTCAGGAACACAGAGACACACCATCTTTGGGCTTCTAGTGCAGCGTTTTCCCACAACCTTCTAAAACATTTAGAAAGTGGGCACAGACATTTCAGAATGTTGCCTTTGGTCATTGTTAAGTGGGCCAGCATTACCACAGTTGTCACACAGAGGTTGAACAAAGTTAGGCACCCTCTCTAGAGAGAAAAGAGGGGTATAATGAGAAAGACAGAGCAAAGAGGCACTGCCTGTAGCCAGAGGCACAAGTCTTCATGCACATACAGCAGGTGAGCTCCCATCACTGCTGCACTGTTTCAACCTCTGCCTTGTTTTTTTTCACACTTTGTCCTTTATGTCCTACCCAGTTTCTCCTCCATATCTAGCCAGCGTCCATCTCATCTCATCTCATCTCACTATGTCTCTCTATCTAAAGGGTTTATGTTGAATGGTTTTGTGATGATAATGCTGTTGAAGACAAAAAAAACAAAACAAATTGTAGAATAATTCCTTGGTTGCGAGTTAAAAGTTGTGGTCTTAGATTGATTAATTATGACTATTGACGGTTGACAAACCAATTCGAGCAATATTTCATCATATGGTTACCGTGAGAGAATCTCGATAGTATAACCCAACTTATAGCACACATACACATAACTGCTATCACACAGAATTTGCCATAGAATTTGACCAATGTTTTTACTGGCATCATCTTATACAGTGTTACATGCAATAAACTTATAAACCTAATGTTATTGCACTTAAGCTCTATTAACTAACTCTCTTCATCTGTCTTGTCCTATGTTAAGCTTTTCAATTATTTGCTACCGTATTTTGTCCAAACTGCTTTTTCAAGTCTGTCATATCTGTGTCATGTCCATAGATTGTCTAGAGCTCCATGAAAAAAGTAGAGCAATAAAGGAGAATGTGTGAGCACTGCTTGGTGATCTTTAGGAAATTGTGTTCTCTGCTCATTGCTCCAGTATTAGCTTTACAGAGGTAACTTTTTGAGCAACTCTAATCATTAAAAAGAAACTGTGGAAAAACTGATGGAACTGGGTTAGTTTAAATTTAGCTGGGTATGACGATCAGCTTTAAGGAGTGTTCTGGAGAGTTCCTAATAATCTCTTGTGTCATCAGCAATAGCTCCTCAGAAAAAAGCATTGTAATCATTCCCAATTAGAGATCATGAAGATGATAGCTCTTCGCTATAAACAACCTTGGAGCTATTCAGACCTTCAAAATGATCACAACCACTTGCCTTGAAAAGGAAATGCTTCACTGAGCTTTGAGTAATTCTACATTCAATCTTGATTTTACTGCAGTCAACTGTTTAATTGAATTATAATAATATGGATTTTATCACTTTACTCTGTGAGTTCAGGAAAGTGAATCCTACATCAGTGCCTTGAAAACTATTAATCTTATGATGTCTGAACATGGGCTGGTCCATCCTCTGGGGTAGCCCATCTTAGAAATGTATGTAAAACTGATTATATTCATACACAAACAGGAGGCCACACATCTGTTCTGCCTGTACATTAGCATTTCCCAGCTCCTGCACTCTCAATTCATTCAGGAAACCTCGTTTAACAGAGGATTAAACTTTGAAAGAGCCACTGATTCAGAAGTTTAAGCATCAGTTATTTTGGACAAACAGGCTATGATTTATGTTGCTGCTTTCTACAGTGGCATTTAGATTTTGCAGTGCTGTACCAGTCTGTTGAAGAAAGCAGGTCAGAGACGATTGCAGTTGTTGAACTGATTTAGAGGAAGAAATCTGTTCCTATAATCATCTCAGCAGAATGTGCTCTCTTTTTTTGGTAATCAGGGATGCGTTCAACAGACATGGTGGATGAGGATTCATCCTGTCATCGAC